CAAAACATAAAGAATTTGAATAAAATTGTTTCTGAAATGAGAAGTGTTTCTAAATTGACATATTATATAAAATAATTTTACATGATTATATAGCCAAAGTCATATTACACAGTTCAAATAAACATTGGCTATCTTATTAACATTCATTATGTTAATATATTCATGTTGATCAAAAAGCTTTTGGTACCTTTTCATTATGAAAGCAGGATCAGCTCACATTTAGGGCTGCTATTTCATCAGCATATATAATACTTTTTAATATTAACCATCATTAACTTATTATCCTTGAGTCCAAATCCATGAATAACATAGTCTGGGTTTTTGCTAAATTGATTTTATTTTACTTTGTGTCATGTGAGAGCTAATACTTATTTTTGTGGAGTAAATGCATTATCAATATGATTAATCTTTGAGCACAAGCAACCCAATACAGTCCCATGCACTCAAAGACCCATTCAACATAGATTCCAGTTGGTCTAATGAGGACCACAAATAAATGCTAGGATCTTTGGCAGAAAAATTCTCTTTTTGTGTGTGAGGTAGCAAGAGCCCAAAAGTAGACCATGGATGCACCAAGTCATATCCTGCTATCTGCAAAGCCCAGATCCAATATACAGTCTTCTGAAGGAAAAAGAACTACAGACCACACAACTGTGCAAACTCAAGTAACACCATAGCTCTTCTGTGTAGATCTGCAATTTTCTCACGCTAAATTAAATTGTTATTTTTATGCATTTTAATAAATATGTATTGTTTATATCTATTGTAATGAAACTAAAAATATTTTATTTTTCACTGCATTAAAAGAAAAATATGCCTTTTGGCTCATAGGTAGTGGTTATGTCTAATGTTTCATTTGTCCCTCATTTGTATTCTCAAGCTCTAACTAAAGAACCGTTATTCTACTTGGTTATTCTCCATGGCGCCCTGACTTTTAGGAAGAGCAAATGCTCAACAACTATGTGGACTGACAAAGTAGTTACTTATTTCTAAAAACAAAGGGATGTATGTTTTCTATTGTGGTTAAATGTTGACTTATTAATTGGTTTTCGCTAGAAAACTGTGTACATAATAATTTACTATTCAAAATAGATAGGTATCATTATTTCTCTTTGAGATGGAGAATTAAATAGAAGCTGAATAAATGTCCTGAATGAGAATTATTTTAAAAACAGGCCAGATTAAGATCTCTTGAAAGAAGAAGTGCTGGTCAAAGGGCACAAAGTTCTAATTATACAGGATCAATCACCTGAGAGATCTACTGTACAGCATAGAGCCTACAGTCAGCAATTCTGTATTGCTAAGAGGTTAGATAGATCTTAAGTGTTCTTAATACGTGTGTGTGTGTGTGTGTGTGACAGAAGTAAACTTTTGGAGGTGATTAATATGTTTTGGCATTGGCTGTGGTGATGATTTCACTTGTATATACTAATTTCTGAAATCATAAAATTATATTCATTAAATACATACAGATTTTTAGATGTCAATTATACCTCAATAAAGAGTGCTTTTAATTGGTAAAAAGAATGTACATCAGACACTTGAGATTATAGTAGGGATAGATGCAAACTAAAACCAGCTCTACTATAGATATGTTGTGACTCCTACAATCTCTGATAGGCTTGCCACCTCAGCTCCCAAATCCATGGAACACGTGAAAAAGGAAAGACAGCTATTGGTGAACGGGAGAAGATTCCTAGAAGCTCAGAAGTGTGTGTGTGTGTGTGTGTGCACGAATATATCTAATAATGTATTTATTCATCTATCTGTGTGTGTGTGTGTGCTTACATCTAATAATGTACCTATTCATCTATCTGCACATGCACAAATGCACATGTACACTCACATATATTTGCTTATCCCAAATTAACATTCCTTATCCTAGGAGTAGCATGATGACCTGGAATACTTTGTTAGAGTGAACCTTAGACAAAGTGTAACGTCCACTCTCAAGAACAAAGGTCACAAGTTTAGACCATGTTATTGAACTAGCTGCCAATACTTAGGCTTTACATTAAGTCTAGGTTACTAATTCTCATGGAAAACTGGAAAAGTCTGGTACAATGGCCCACCTATCAGTTCCACCTGGAACTGCTGAAGCTGCCTTCCCACAGCAGGTGTGGCCTCAGATTTGCCGCAGTCCAACCCAGCCCTCCGTCCTGCTTGCACTGCCTGTCAGGCCTTTCCAGACAGCTAAGAGGGGAACACTGCTGTTGTCAGTCATTCACTGCCAGGTGGGACAATGTGCGAGGCTGCCCTGAGCCACAGAAGAAACTGGTCATTGGGCAGAGCAGGCCAATAATGAGAACAATGTAAGTCCCAGCTTATAACAAGCATGAGTCCAATTCATGAGTCAATTTGGAAGATTCCAAAGGGCTCAGCTCCCTTTGGAACTGGCAGAGGAAATGGGGCAGGGAAAAGAGAGTCGCTGGTTCACCTGTGGTAGGAAGATACTCAAGCAGGCAAGGATCCAACAACTTGTGTAAAAGAAAGTTTAGAGTAAGCCGTACTTGAGAAGATGCCTGTGTCTTTGGGTGGTCATGATCCTGAGGGCAATTACTCCCTTCAAAGTGAATATACCTGTAACTTTGACTCCTGATTTTCTGCTCAGATGTTATCTCCTGCTAAGATGACAAAAACAAGCAATGACTGTCTGCTCCATACAGTATTCATGATTTAATTTACATTAACTACTATATCCTTGCTTAAAACATCTACATCAAATACTCTTGAGGATAACTGTCCTTGTCTTCATTCCATAGTCCTATGGAAATGAGTACTGCTCATGTTCTAAGATTAACATTAAAAGTGCCAAAATGATTTAGTTCTGAGTTTAAATGTTCTTTTTTGCTTAAGCCTGTCTTTAAAGTGGCTAGGACCATCTTAAAATGATCAGGGCATATGTGATAAGGTACATATGAAGGATTGATAAGGACCTTATGGCAATTATTTGAAATATAAAGCCAGAATTTTCTATCAAAACAGGTAAGGTACTACCTTTTATATGCTTTGTTCTAGGTGTTTTTGTCCCCCATGAAAAAGAATCTGTAAGTGAACAACACATACTAGCAGATAACAGTTCAGGTTATAAAATATATATATAAAGGGATAGGAGGTAGAATGTGATTGGGGTGCAATACTGTAGAGAGTAGTCAAGAAAGATCTACCATTGTGACAGAAATCTAAACCAAGAGAGAGCACCTCCAAGCTAAGTGTTATGTGTGGAAGAGCACTGCAGGCCCAGGGAAGAGCACATGCAAAGGCCCTGGGGCAAACATGGGCAATAGGTGACTGAAGAAGCACAAGAAGCCCAGTGTGCTGGAGAGTGACTGAACTGACTAAAGAAACATGGGAGAAAGAGAACATCTAGAGTGGACCAGAAGAAAGAGAAAATGAATGAGGTAGAGGTATACAGAGCCCAAAAGAAAACAAAACTGTTGACCTGTAGTGGGTAGTTGTAAAACACAACTGGATGTCAAAAAGGGCAGGGGCTGAAGAGGTATCCGGGGGTCGTTGTATTTTGGAGATAAATGAAGTCATTGAAGTCATGGCTGATCCACCTTGAAAGGCAATAGAAAATTCACTTCCCACTTCTGATTCTGTGCAGAAGCTACTGCACAGTTTTACAAACACATAATCTCACTTAGTTTCCACCACACCTCTTTGATAACGGAAATTAACCATTCCATTTTACTGATGAGAAAACTGAACCCTAAAGAACTGAACTGACTCAAGGTCACAGCCAGAAAGCTGCAAGGCCTGAATGGAGTCCAGATGGTCTGGCTCGGGAAGCTGTGTCCTACTCACGGCGATAGACGTTTATGCTTCACCCAGCGGAAACTGGGAGGGGTCTTGATTGCTCTGGGCTTAAAGTTTTAGTCCACAGCCATTCACCCAACTGGATGAATATTTGATTTACTATCTTTATTTGGCTAAAATTCATAGGGTTGGGAAAAAGATGCTTGGCTCAACTCCATCTCAGTTGGATCAGGGTTTTCATTCTTTGAATGTGGAACTTCAGAGAAGGTGAACCGGCAGTGGCTCCAATCTCTCTTGTTCCATATTCCTCACCAAGTCACCTGTGCCTGCCTGCCCCACGCTACGGAACCAATACATATACCAACTACACACACCGATGCCAAGGCGCAGAACATCCCATCATTTCCTCAGAAGATTCTTCTATATATCCACTGCAAAGAACATTATTAGAAAATAAACTGTTACTTGTTTTTAATGATCTTTTTTCTTAGTACATCAAGTGGATTTTTTCCTTAGTTCAAGGTTATTTCTTAGGTCTCACTATTCCTGGCAAATATGTACAGATCATGAGGTAAACCTCATCAGAACATTTTGCATGTCATTTCCTGGAAATTAAAACCAGATTTTTTTAAAATCTGAAGATCATAGAGTTATAAGGCATCCGACAGAGGATTATTATAGTTTATAGGGCACGACAAATAAGTAATACTAGAAGAATTAAACTCTTTCAAAATTGCTTTCCTCTAAATATATGGAATTGTGTAATCTAATTTATGGCATATTAAACATGGTATGATTTGAGTAGCAGTCAACATCAGCAATAATCAGATTAAAGTTGGAGATCAAATCCTAAGAGCCAAAAGGTGAGGTCATTCCACATTTCTTTGTCAAAATATCCCCCAGGCTTTGCTGAATGAAAATAGAGTAAATGAGCATAAAAATCATAATCCAAATTTCTCACATTCCAGGAGGGTAAATTTAGAAATCATTAGTTTGTTCATCCAATTTTAAAGTACTCAATAATTTTAGTCTTCTGATCCCAATAATATTATCATGCCTTAGAATGGTCCATTTGTAATCTTTGGGCCTACAAAACTACATTCATATGTGAATTCACTCACTTGTTTTCTATTCATTGAATATTTTTTGAGCTTCTATTAAGGACCAGCTATTGGAACCCACAATCTCAAAAGAAAGATAAACGTCACCGCCACTGAAATAAATATGCACCGGGTACAGTATTGGATTTACTGATCCAAGTGCTTTATTCAATTTATCTCAGATAATTATGATCACCCTGTGAGATAGGTATTACTAGAATCTCATTTTACAGATGAGTAAATGAGGTTCAGAGAGGTCAAATGACTTGAGATTCAGAGCTCATGATGAAATCAGATTTCAAACGGATTAAAAATCTTATGGTTTTTAAAAGGCACCAGGCTATATTGCCTCTTGTAAAATGTTAATTAAATGTATTAACAATGTATTCACTCTGTGCATACACAATATCGTGGAAAAAGATAAAGGGGAAGTTTAGTTCTGAATGTATAGGAAGCCATCAGGGCAACATTCATCAGAGGGGGGATCTTAAATGATGAACAGAAGCTCCAAGATGGAAGCATGGCTGTGGGGTGGACTGACACAAAGTGTGGACTTCTTCAAATACTGACACATGGTTTTGTATAGGTGAGTAAGGAACATATACAAGTTGCTAACTAAGCAGTTTGAGCCTCACTGGGGAGAACCTGTAGGACATGCTAAGAATTTGAAACTCCATCCAGGAGACAAAGGGAAGGCACTGCAGAATTTCAAATCGGAAGTGACCCACATTTTAGAAACATCAGTGACTTCAGTGTGGAGGCAGGGATTGCAGATTACTGCCAATGTGCAAGGAAGAGGTGGTCTGTCCATGCACAATGAAAAGAAGGGGACTGATTTTTTATAGTGTAATTAGGAAGAAATATATATATAGGACCAAGGGTCTCATGAGCTGTGGGTACTGAGGGAGAGAAAGGACTCTTAGGGTACTGAGGGAGAGAAAGGACTCTTAGGCAAATTTTGTAAAACTTCCCTAGAAGCAAATTAAGAGAGGGAGTTACAAATTCCATTTTACATGAAATATGACAGCTTGTGGGAGATAAATGTAGACATTTCCAATTGAGAATTACTAAAATTCAAGCAAAAAGTGAGGCTTGCGATTAAGATTTGGAAGGCAGTGCAATATGAGTGATGTCTAAAGCCACAAGGGTGGCTGAATTTGGGGCCTGGGGATAATAGTGCCCAGTTTCAGGTGAAAACAGCACCCCCTCCTGCCCCCGAACAGTTACAGACAACCACTTGCTTCTAATGCCGGAAGTCCATGTTTTTTAAAATCTGAAAACTCTTTAGCATTAGCAAGATTCAAGAGTAAGACAGTTTAACTTGCCAACAGAATCAATAGCATATGCTTTTGTCCCATCTTCAGCTATAACAGAGATTGTTAACATATGGGAAAAGTAAAGTTACTCATGAACTGACAATTGCTTAGACATCTACTATAGTACATTTTTTCTTACCTCATATTCCCCCAAACAAGCAATTAATGTCTTTTTCTTTTAATCGATGATTTAAAAATGGGCGTGTTGGGGAAAATATCTTGCACTCTACTGAAGTTATATTTTTGTCATGGACTGAAAGTTTCAGTAAACAATTGATATTCTCATGAATTTATTTCTACTTATGCAATGGATTCACTGGATTAGTCTGATGAACTGTATCAAATTTTGAAACTTCAATGAGGTAAGTAAATTGAGGGAGGACATTCATTTTCCTCAACCATAATAGTTCTAGTAAGAGTCTTATTAGAATTAGTTCATGAAAGGCCCAATTCTCTCTCTCTCTCTCTCTCTCTCTCTCTCTCTCTCTCTCTCTCTCTCTCTCTCTCACACACACACACACACACACACACACACACACACACACATTCTCTGTCCAACACCGCTCTTAAAATATATTTATTAAACTTGGATTCTAACTTTATTGTGGGAGTTTGATACTTTCTCCCAGGAAACTGCTTTAAACCAAGATACCTCAGCAATAATAGTATCTTCCAGTCATTATCCAAATTGTCAGCAAAAGGAAAGATCATTATGATCCCATATAAGATAGGAAGAAAGGTGCAATAAACTAGATAGATTTCCCACCGGGTGATATTAAGGCAAAATTATTCCAGGCAAGGGAGAAATGATGTTGGTATTTAGAGGTCGGAAGGGTTTCTGTTGTGTCATGATGCTAAAAACATACCAGCCAGCCATGGTGAACCCTTCTGTTTAGAAAGCACAGCTGATTTCCTACAAAGGAGTTTAGATTCTGATGTTGCCAACATATATCTGTGGGTGAATTAAAGGGGAAAGCCTCACATTCCATTGTCTGGGCTGCCAATTCCTCTGGCCTTGAGATATTCTCCTGACTTGGGTTTTGTGACCTACCTGTCCTGGAACTGTCCCTACTTCCTGGGCTATTCCTCCACCCTCTGTGCAGGCTCATCGTCTCCTTACCAGCTGATGAGTCATTTAGATCCCATTCACACTTTACTGAAATTATTCCTATATATACACAGTCACAAGCTACATCTTCACCCAGGCCTTTTCCTTGTAGTCCAGATCCATACACCCAACTCCTATTGGACATCACCACCGAAATGACTTGATTTATGGCATCTCACTCCTCATACCTGAAACCTAACACTCCTGATCATTCTCGTCCAAACAGAGTTCCCTCCTGGTGACTGACTAGCCTTCTACTTGACTACCACAATCATTCATTCAAGGACACGGAAACCCTCCTTTATTAGCATGCAGCATCATTTATGCCTCCCACTCTCACCTGCCCTATGAAATCCAGTACAAAGTCCTATGGACTTTTCCTTCTAAATCTCTTTCAATTAAAAGAGATGTAGGATTCAGCAACAAAATATTTTAGAAACAATCATCAAGCCTCAAACTCTAACAAGCCAGCACCAAGGGTAATTAGTGGAAAGAGTGCCTTCTTTCTCTTTGCCCAGTTTTTCCACCATTTTACTATCTACATTTTCAAAAAATTTATCTTTATTGTTGAAAGTATTGCAAACGTCCCCTTTCCATGCCACCCCCCACCTCTGACCACCTCACAGGCCTTCATTGCACTGTTGTCTGGGTCCATAATGCAGGTTTTCACTGAATGAAATAGCCATTTCCTAGAAGAGAAGAAACTCCAACAGCTGGTTTATAAGACTTCCCATCACAGTAAACAAAGAAGAGTTGGCTTTACCCACCTCCCCCAAGGTACCTGCTCACTAGCTTTCAATGTTTATATATGTGTGCCAGAAGCTTTTTCCTTGCTTTAAAAAATATCCCATATTACTAGATGGTATGTGACCTCTTTCTGGGCAGGCACATATTTATTATTATATTCAGAGACTTAAATTTAATGTTTAATAGGTAGTGAGAGTGTGAAGAATGAAAGATGGGTGAAGTGTCATATTTTCTTTCAGATATTAGAATGAATTTCAAGGACTTCTAAAAGTTCCTTTTCATTTCCTAGACAGTATAATCTGCTTATATTTATTTATTAGGAACTCACATCTGGCTGTGAACAAAAACTCCATGCCACTTATTAACAATATTGTGTTAACATCTTAAGAATGAAACGGGGGAGATTTTCTATTTATCACCGTTAGCTGCTATTCTACAGCATTCTCTTGTTGTCTCTGGGCAATTAGGCACTGTAATTATAAGTTCTGTTTTTAAAAAAGTAGGGGTGGGTAGGTTCCATTAATAGGGACAACTATATAAACATAATAAATTTAGTATTCTATTGTTAAAAATGGTAGTGACATATCCCTTTATATTATAAAAAAGACTAATTTACACAGCAGTAAATGTAAGCAAAATATTTCTCAAAGAAAAGCCAAATATACAGGCAATAACAGAGCAAGGGGCTGAGAAATAATTTTACCTGATCTTGAGTAACAGTGACTATAAAATGTCAGTGAAATTTAAGTGACTACATTGGTGCTAATTCCATCACAACCAAAAACCGGAAATAGAAGGAAACTGGGAATTCTCTGTCCATGCCCTGGTCCTCTTTTTAATCGGCTCTGAAGTGTTATTTGTCTTAGGCAGAAACCAGTAAAAAGCCAATGAACAGAAAAAAAAATCAACCCCAAGATAATTTCAAATGAGAAATAAAATCAGGAGGGAAGCCATGCCAGAATTTATTGAAAAACAGATTTTTCTCCTTCAAAAATGTTATTAAAAAATACGAATGTTTTCGTGACTTATTGCCAAGTGTATTTTATAAGCTCTCTGCTACTCAGATGTACCATACCATACTGTACAATGTGATGGATGGGGGCTATTAATCATTTTTACTGAAGAACAGAACAGCCCATGCAACATACTGCTATTAAAAAGGTGAGGGTATTCTGGGAGTACATTCACTTCCTCATAAAGTCACATTTCACATATCCCTTGGTTTTCAAACAGTTTCTTCCTACTGACTAGCATACTCTGCAGGTTGTGAAAAATGGGCTGACTTGTGATAGAGGATTATCACATTGCTCCTGGAAAGTGCCAACTCTATCTCCAAACTTTCACCTGCAGTCATCCCTGTGTTTCATATAGTACAACACTGTATGCACTTCTGTCCATTATCTAGATTTTAAACTCAGCCTAGTTTTATATGTTCTGTTCCTGGACTGTACTCAAATTGAAGGGGTGGGAGAAGCATGAGGAACTTGCAGGCTCTCACCTCTAGGCAACTGTCCAGGTAATATTATCACCCCAGGCAGAGTCTAGCTTCAGTGAAATCAGTTGCTTATTGGTTCAAAGAAATTAACCACATGGATGAGATAGAGGGAGGCCCAACCCATAGAAAAGAGTTACCAGACAAGTGAATTTCAACTGGTGTGCTGTAAGAATTTTTAAACTATTCAGGGGCACTCACCTCTTTCCCTTAGATTGTTAAATTAAAAAATGACAACACTCAACCCAATAATTGTCTGTTGTGAATGCCCTGCCTTGAACCATAAATATATAGGACATATAATAAAGCTGTATTTCATTGGTCACATGACATGATAAGGTTGTGTCTGATTGGTTAATTCTTGGTACCAGAAATAAGTATAGGCACCTGATTTTGATTTTTTAAAAAGTCACTTTTGAGCAAAAAGAGCAGATAGTTACTATGATTATTATTTTAAATCAGTCAACATCATCCCTTTTTTTTTGTCAGATCAGCAAAAAACAAGCAAACAAACATTTTTTGGTGTGCCGCTGAATTTAGTAATTAGGTTGTGTGCACCATGGGATAAAAAAAGGTGAAAATTGCTGAGACAGACTATTTTAGGTAGCATTTTTTTAAAGAGGATTCTTTAAAAAAAATTATTATTTACAGAGAGGAAGGGAGAGGGATAGAAAGTTAGAAACATCAATGGAAGAGGGACATTGATGAGCAGCCTCCTGCACACCCCCCACTGGGGATGTGCCTGCAACCAAGGTACATGCCCTTGACCGGATTGAACCCAGGACCCTGCAGTCCACAGGACAATGCTCTATCCACTGAGACAAACCAGTTTTGGCTTAGGTAGCACTTTTATTATTTTCACAGAGAAAACAACATAATTCTTATACACATTGGTATATCATGAGTTATTTGTCTTAAATAGAAAGGTAATGAGAGCCCATCTTATATAATAAAAGCCCAGCGACCATACAGCAGAACAATTAAAACGACTTCTCGAACAGTCATTATGAGGTACACTGACTACCTCTCAGTCCCTTCCCCCTGTCGTCAAGATCCCATTGCTGGATAGGGAAGGAGGAACCCGAGTGGGAGTGGTGGGGGGTGAGACTGGTGAGCAGGCAGAATAGGCCTACCTCTTGGACCTTC